TTATGTAATTTTGAGTTGAGATGCATTTTTATTTTCTTTTTGTTTTTTGAATTCAAATTCAAAAAAACTTATAAGTCATAGAGAAGCTAACCTAAAACATGAATGAAAGTTAATTGGGTAATTTGAAACAGAATGAATTCAGTGACTATCGTATATTCAACCAATATTTCACACTTCATGCTGCCAAGTCTTATGTTTTTGTCGCTATCCTTTGGTTCAAATTTGTCGGCAATTCTCCTCCTTTTAGCTCGTAAATAATTTTCGTAATATATCAGTTTTCGATGGAACATGAATATACCTCTATGTGGGTATTAAGTTTCGTTGTCTCTCCGAACCTTCATAATTACACTCGGTCTAGACGCCAAGAAATTTTTCCCATTTTAGTATTCTTGTAAAATTGAAGATTTAATTATCTTTTATTTTTGTACAGAGACTTTGCATTTTAAATTTCTTTTGAAGCCCATATATGGTAACTCTCCGTGAATGGTTGAGGAGGTCCGAAAAGGCAATTGACGATGGGTACATTACAAGGGGATGGGAGGTCGGCTATGTTTAAATTGAGTGTTGACGAGGTTTTTGAGTACATAGTATTTATTAAAGTGAATGGAGTTTCATCAATTGATCTTATGGAAAGTTGGAGAGTAGGTCATAAAGTTTTTATATACATGAGAATTATGTCCTAATTGCTGGATTGTTCTGACTTCTTGAGCATCTGGTATTTGAATCCTTTTGACTCGATAGATTAATAATTTCCATATTTCATATATTTAATTCTTGTTTCCATCAACTTTTGAAGGCGTTACATGTATATAGATTAAATGTTTTATTACAATGCTTTAAAGGGTAATTTCAAGTGTTTTAATTTGATATATGCCAACTATTTTTAAACAATAAATAAGAGACAGGATTCAACATATCTATCATTACTCCTTCACAGTAGACACACAAACATTAGCTTCAAACTATCATCACTCGTGCATCGCACGGCCAAAGACTAGTATTAATAAAAAAATCAATTCATCCTAAAATCAATTTCATTTTCACACCCTAAAATTCTAATCCCCTTCCTTCTCTCTATCTTCTATCTCTTTGCCCACTCACCAATCCACCTACTTCTCACCCCCGACCATCTCTAGTGTAACCTGAAGATTTGTCGTCTCGATGGCATCGTCTGTCGCAATGCTTGAACTAGGTGCAAATCACAGCAACAATTTCGACGATGCTTCCCGCAGCAGAGGCGATGTCGATGATGCTGCTACCATCACTACTTGCGTCACAGCGTTCAAACCAAGTGCATTGCTGCAGCAAAAGCGATGGCACTAGTGATACTGCTAGTAGTGAAGGCAGTTTGATGATGCTACTTATTAGGCACTGGTGATGTTGCCTGCAACAGAGGCAATGCCGTGATGCTGTTTATCAAATAACATGTTTGTTGGTGGTTTTTGTGATCTAATTTGCAATGGATGGTTTGCGATATGGGTAGTTTGTTGGTGGGTTTTTTCCATCAGATCTGTTGTTTAGCCAGATTTTTGGGATGGTTGTTGGTGTTTTGCAAATGTAGACAGTGATTTTCTGATCTATGAATGATTGAATAATGCTATTTGCAGTCATCCTATGTGGCATACACATGGCAGGTGGTTATTTAAAGCATTAATGAATAAAAAAAACTACCATATTAATGCATCAAATAATCACCTGCCATGTGTATGCCACATAGGGCGACTACCGCAGTGAGCGACTATGAATAGCATTACTCATGAATGATTTCTTTTGGTAGTGGAGTAGGGAGTAATGGTTCTGTTGGTGGTGGTTCATATGGTGGTGGTGAGGTTGTGTTCGTTTGGTTCTTGACATTGTTGGGAATGGTGGTGGTGGCGAAAATCATGTGTGATCAATTCTATTTTCATTGTAACTGTTTGTGACCATATATATGTTAACTGTGACTTGATTATATACAATCACAAATTAGACTAACCTGACCACAGACAGTCACACTGAAAACAAATTTGGTCACGGTTAGTCACAGATAACACATGTCAGTATAGGTGGTATTTATGGTCATGAATTTGAGTTAAAAATGATAGTGTTGTTACATTGGAAGTGTTGGTGGACATGACTAGAGCTAGATTGCGGTTTTGGTTTGTGGTGTGTGCAAATTTGTATTGTGGTGACCATATGTGACCAAGTATATGTTTTATGTAATTGGTTGTGACCAATTATGTGTTAATCGTGATTGGTTATGATTTGGTCACAGACCATCACAATTAAGATTGATCTGATCATAATTAGTTACATCGAAGACAAATTTGATACAATTAGTTACAAGTAACACATGTCAGTGATTTAATTACATACAGTGACTTGAAAATTTTCTGGATGGGTAGGGTTGAGGTAGGGTTAGAAGGTCGGTAAGGATGGTTCGAGGCGAGGTGTAGTGTCCAAAAATGTTTTCAATTTAAAAAAAAAAAAAAAAAGGGAAAAAATATGTGC